TTAAGAAGGTTATGAAATTGGTCAGTACTGGTAATTTTGAGTGTCTCACTTAAAGCAATTGAGTCCACTATTTAAGTAAAGTAGTGAACATAGCACAATTACAGTTTTTATTGTAGTAGAATAACTAGAGAGGACTAAGCACCTCTAAAAACCTGGAGAGGACTTTGAAGTTTCACTTTGACTGTTGAAACTGAGATGAAGTTGAGTCTGGAAAAGGCAATATAAAAGTATAAAATGGACAAGTAAAAGAGAAAGAAAAAATATTTTAAGTTTTCATTTTCTTTTATCATGACAGATATTACTAGCTACAAGAGGGAATTTTGTTTCTGAAGTGATTATTTCAAACAGGGTTATATGTAGTTATGAACAGCTTGTTGAAGTAAGAACAGGCAAGTCAGAAGAGTAATTTGAAAGTGTAATAAACTTTGGCTTTAAGAGGTTTTAAAACTCTTTTTTGCAGTACACGTCAAAATAGTCAATAGCCATGTATTTCTTCTTGAGTTTTAAAATATTTCTGTTGTTTTAAATGCTTATGTTTTGGGTGTGGGCTATTTTTTTAAAGAATAGTCAAAGAATTATAATTTTTTTGAAGCTACAGTTAATGCTAAATATCTAAAAATGTTTCTTGGAATCAGTGTAGAAGTAACTCAGTTCGATAAAGTGCAATGTTATTATAATGCTTAATACATCACTTGCATTATAGTTAGTGTGAAAGATACATACTTTTTTTTGCCAAAGGAAATACAGAAAGTGTTACAGAAAATTAATAAATAGACTATTTTTTGGTTGTTACTTTTGTATAACGTCTCTTGAGTGGACTGAGTAACTGAAGTTTATTTTAGCTTTACTAAATCAAGTAGAACCCCCCATGCACCACTGCCATTATTGCCCTAACTCTAAAATAAATAAAACATGTAATTTGTTTTTAGTACTTCAGAAAATGTTTTAAAGGTTTGTCATTGTTGGTCTTTGCTATATTTTGTTTGCTTTTTCTACCTATGCAAGATTTGGTAGGGTTTAAGTTAATCAAGACAGGCTTGTAAAGAAACATACTTGTCAGACCATTATGGAGTAGAGTGAATTAAGGAGAGAAGCTTTCTCAACTTGAATTTACTTGCTTTGGTGGTTTTGATTCATAGTTACATTAGCTCAGTGTGGTTACCTGGATTGCTGGGCAGTCAAAAATTTGAATCACAGGAATAACATGAGAATAGGAGACTTAACAAAGAATAAAAATGTAGATATTTTGGAGTTGCTGTACATGTCTTTAGTGTCAAGGATTAATGTAAACAGAGAATGATATGTCTGTTGCCTTTAAACACAGATTAATAATCTGTTGTTCAAAGGTTCAATAGGAAAGGTTTAACAGATCATTAAAAAAAGCCATAAGGATTCATTTATATGCAGCTAGCTGGATGTAGTAGCCTATATAAATATTATTTTTTTTTGTAAATTATGAAATGCCATGAATAATTTTTCTTAGGTGAAACTTGCCTTTGTCAGCCCAAAGAAGATACACTATTTGAATTGTAGTAATTTTAAATACTTACTTTAATGCTTGCATAGCTGTTACATCTAATTTTAGGCTAGAATTAGTGAAAACATTGACTAGTGCTCAAGGTTTAATAAAGTTAAGTTCAGAGTGTATTTTAAGTATAGGCAGGAAAATTTTTATTTTTGTCATGCAAATTAAAACAAAAGTCTCTCAAACATGCATTCCATGAAATTTCATTGTAGTCAATGTGGTGTTTGTCAGTGCAGAACCAGACTGATTACTGAAATATAATTACCTTCATGGAGGAATTTGGTTGGGAGTGGGGGGAACTCTCTCCTAAGGTAGCACCTTAATACTTCACCAGTATTAAAGATGCTTAGAAAAGGCTATTCATGAGCAGTTATTTCTAATGCACTTTAAACTGTAGTTAAATAAAAAATGACTGCAGTAGGCTATTTAGAGAAATCCTTACCATTATGCAACATTTAATTATCAAATTTCACACTTTATTATCCTAGCATTTAAAAAAATTCTTGGCTTCCAAGTAATATGTTTTTGATAATGTTATAATTGTTCTATTACAACAACAGTAGTTTCAGAGGATAATCATTCCCAAAAGTTAAGCATCTAGGGCAGCAGTAGCAACATTGCTGTTCATGTTTTACTGCAGTAGTCAGATTTTTTTGATGCTTTTGGCTTTTGCTAAGTAAGATTTTTTCATAATGTAATGACTTACACCTTCTGGTCCAAAATGTGAAGTTTAGACCTTTAATCATGCTCTCATTCAAAAGTGAAGCATTTTCTAAAGTTTTGAGCTTTTTTGGTGTAAGTAGACAATGACATACTTTTTATTAATGGTATAAGCCATTATTTTACTGAGAACCATTAGCTATTTAAAAGTTTGCGCATAAATTAAAGAGGAGCTAAATGGATTTGCAGTTGTTGCCATTAGTAGCATTTTAGATTATAGAGTCAATTATTGAGTTCATTATCGTAGAACAGCCCCTTTGCAAAACTATTGTGTTTGTCTTAGACATTACATACAAATTTTCCCTTGGAGACTAACATTTCCAGTGGTGTGTTTAATTTTGTTAACACAGTTGTTTCAAATAGAACAAATATTATGACAAGTAAAAGAAAATTTGCTTTTTTGATACTAGAAATAGCACTAAATGTGAAAAATTAATCCAATTCTTAACTTACCTATTTCTCACAGTCTCATTATTCTGGTTATGATTATTTGCAAAAGGACAGAAGTCACTTTCTTAAGATGGTATGTTTTACAAATGCTTTGATAAAATCATAATGCAGTTAAAGTTGTTTACTTATTTTTCCAATATTCAGATGAATTTTAGAGGATGTTAGTGAATTTCTATATTAAATGTATCTGCACAATTCAACAGCATTTCATTAGTTTGAGTGCAGAAGTTGATTAAGTGGAAAGTCACAGAATTAAACTAATTAAGTATATATTGGTACATTATAGTAACTAATTTTTAAGGAATGGAGAATGCATTTCTTTTAAAACTTTCTTTGTCTGCCTTCTTAAGTTGTAGGGTTTTGTAACTCCTTTCAGTTACAGTAAATGAAAACTTTAAAATTGACTATGGCCAGTAATGTGATCTGTATTAGAAAGTATAACATTAGCAGGAAGAAACTAAATATTCTTAAGCAAGAGATGTATCTTGTGAAAATTTTTCATCATCAGCTTTTTTATTCTCTTAATACTTCTCTGAAAACATTTTTGTTGTATTCCAAACTTAAATTCACATCTGTCTTCATCAGTTAGAAAGGTGTTAATGCTTTGAATTGGCTACATATCAGTGTGCAGTGGACTAAATTTAATGTTTCTGTCCAGAAAGTGGCATTCTTTCCAAAGAAGCTCTTTATTCATTTCTATTCTGGGGTGGGGTTTTTACAAGGAGTGTAGGGGGGAGGCTGAGAGGAGATACAGGCTTTCACTACTGTGATGTAGGAAAAAAAAAGTGTGAGGTAGTGGTTATGCATATTGCAAGACAGTGATTCTTTATTTTATTACAAAAAAAGGCCAACTCTAGAAGGCCAGATTAAATCATTCCTTTCACTTTTTAATGGGATTTGGATGAATAGAGTAAAATATGCACTTTGCATTCATTGATAGCATCTTTAGGTTGAGGTAATTGAGTCTTTTTTCCCTGACTGAATGAATAATGACTTCATCTGATCCTCAGCGAGGCCTGAAACTTAGGCTGCCTTTGTCAACGTAAAAAGATCTGGTCTTTGAAACATGCTCTACTTCCCTGGCTTAATTTTTCTTAATTTTAATCCAAAAACCTATTTTTCTCAATAATTCAAGCATAAACTATGTAGTAGTTGAACCAGCGGAAATTGCAAGATATTTGTCCTCGTTGTGCTGCTTTTTAAATGCAGCTGATAAATCAGCCGCTGTGGTCTTCAGCTGCCTGGTTCTCTAGGGAAGGGACAGACCATGTGTAAGCAAGATTGCTGGAATTTTTAAGAACTATATTTAAAATGTTTCTTTTACAGACTGTTTGTTATCTCAGGAAGTGTTATGTTTGACTGGTCTTACTGGCAGGACTTGGAGATAAAAGGGGCATCTGATGGGGCCTAGGAAACTCTTCCTAACATAATTTTCCCACATATTTTACTGACTGCAAGAGCATCCCAAAAAGTGGAGTATAAATACTTAGCTTACAGCATACATTATTGAAATGGTGAGAGTCTTAGTTACATAGCTTAAAAATATTTTTTCTTGAGAAACAGTGGATGAAAGATAGCCTCTCAGTGTTCTTGCTGAAATGTTTTGATATCACATACCTTTTAACTCACAAAAAATTGAAGCTCTGTTTCACTGTTTTGGTCTGAAAATGGATATTCCACTTGACTAATTATCTTTTCTATTCAATAATAACTGAAAGCTTCAGAGAATTAGAAATTATTTCTATGAAATTAGTTAGGATTTACAGACTGGTATGGTAGTATAGTTACAAATTACAGTACACTAGTTATATGAATGAGAATGTAGCTCTGTCACTTTTGTCCATTGTTTTTTGAATCTAACAAGTTTTTGGTCTTCTAGGAGTAAATGAGCAATGGCTGTGCTACAAATACAATACACAGAATCAGTATTTTTGTTGCATGTGTGACAAAAGAAGATTATTCCTTTGTATTTTATTATCTTTACTTGCCTTTCTCCTTGCCCTCCTGTGTTCATATCCTGGATTAGGAAGTGGTGGAGGGATGTAACAGACATAAAGGTATTCAAAAGACCTGCCTGGGACAGTTCACACTGGTTCTGGGAATTTTTACTAGATATTACCACGGAACATCTACTGCATGTAAGCAGAGGAACAATACTTAATTCACTTGTCCAAATGTAGTTAATTGTTTAAAAGAACGTGGATTTTTAATAGGTAGGAATAAAAAGCCAATAATGGCTAATTGTTTGCAAAAGTGACATTTAAGAAAAAGTTATTACTCACTTGATTTATACTTCTTCCTCTAGGTTGGCCTTCTGGATCTGGAGTTGAATCAACTGACCAAAGCCCTGTTTTTGGCTTTAGTTGCACTATCAGTTGTGATGGTAACTCTACAAGGATTTGTAGGCCCGTGGTATCGCAACCTTTTCCGGTTCCTCCTCCTGTTTTCCTATATCATCCCAATCAGGTATGTGTAAGAATAAAAGAAAAACACAGATGTCTAATTTCACTGAATGTGGCTTTCTTGAAATTTATACTTGCTTCTCATTGCCAAGGAAATTGATCTTACCAGGAAGCTGAAGGAGAAGGTGCCAAAAAATCTGCTGATTCTTGAGGGATCACTGTACGGAAAACAATACTGTTGTCTTTTTTTGTATGGTGTTCATCTTCCTGGAGTAATCAGGGTATCTAATCCTTTACCAGCAAAAAAGTATTAATAGGGATACAATCTCGGTATATTTGAGAATGTGGGTTTAGGTGACATATTTAAATGAAATATTAGCTATGTTTCTTAATTTTATTTTTAGTGCTTTAAATACTGAAAGTTTTCCATTTCTCCGGTTAAAATACAGACTTTTTACTACAACAGTGATCAAATTGAATGGCTGAATAATATAGGTGAGCATCTACAATGAGAGGACTTTTAACATGTGTAACCAAGTAGACATGCCCTGAATTAATTCACTAAGCATGAGTACTCTATATTCAAATTGCAGATAAACTGGAACAGGAAATATTATCCCTGTGTGTAACCAAGTCTTCAGTGGACACAGAAGTGAGAACACTGACTCTGAATTTTTTACTTTTTTTTTTCTTGAATGGATATTGCCTGTGCAAAATAGAAAAACTCTCTCTTGTTAAAGTATCCAATGTTTAGATTAAGGTGATGGTTAATTTTAGATTATCTCTGGAGACCTTCAGTTTGAGGTACATCATTCACTAAACCGGGTGGCTAGCCACAGAGTTAGTAGCAACTAAACTATAGATAGGTTTAAGACCTCTCCCCTCAGGTTTGCACACGATATTTAAATTCATGTAGTATACAGAAAAAATGGGAGGATTGCACTAGGCATTTTAATCTAAGGTGACATGACTTATGTGTTACTTTGTTCACATTATTTAAGTACATGCCTATGAGAAGGGTACTCCATCGTATTTGACCAATTTGGTATTCAGGAAGTACCAGTGTTAAGGTTTTATAGCTTAAAGGTCTTGTATTTTTATACTGCTTTTGTGTTGCAAGAGCAACTGATTCTGTTGAGAAGTTGGAGAAGGTTCCAGCAAATCTGCTGGGAAGTTGAGGAGATCTCATTCTAGAAACTGGTCACCTTAGAACAGTTTCTGTTTAACTGGCCCTTGTTTTTTTTATTTTACAGTCACTGTGTTCTTCTGTAATAAACATACTAAGCCAAAAGTTACTAACATGTTTGTAAGACAGATAAATCTTTGTTACCGGATACAAGAGGATTAAGAACATACAGGTAGTGTTAAGTAAATTTGACTTTATATTGACAATTCAACATAGGCCACTGAAAAACATGTTGATTGTGCAGCTCATTTTCAACTCAACTTGTTTAGTGGACTAGTGGAATAGTTCTTTTCCATTCTTACACCTAATGCCATTTTGCAGTTGTTTGTGGGAGATAATACAGGAAGTGGAAGTATTAGAGAATGTGATTGGTTTAGTTCTGAGATGGACCATGTAGTTACTCTATGGAAGATAAGACGGGAATCTGTCAGAAAATCCTTTTCTCTCGAGAGGTTTATCTATTTATATACTAAATTTTCTTGAACTCAGATTATTTGCATACAGGATCATAGAATCATAGAATGAATTGGGTTGGAAGGGACCTTAAAGATCACCTAGATCCAACCTTCCTCCGTGGGCAGGGCCACCTCCAACTAGATTAAGTTGCTCAGAGCCCCATCCAACCTGGCTTTGAACACTTCCAGGGATGGAGCGTCCACCAATGCCATGACCCCATTGTAGAAGGCCACCACATTAGTCAGGCAGGATTTGCCCTTGGTGAAGCTGTGTTGGCTGTCACCAGTCACCCCTTGGTTTTCTGCATGCCTTAGCAGAGCCTTCAGGAGTATCTGCTCCATGACCTTTTCCAGCACCAAGGTGAGACTAACTGGCCTGTAGTTCCCCTGGTCTTCCTTTTTTCCCTTTTTGAAAATGGGGGATGTTTCCCCTTTTCCAGTCAGTGCAGGCTTTGCCCGACTGCCAAGGCTTTTCAAATAGATAAGATAGGTCGCTTCCCACACTGTCAGCAAAATTGACATCTCCAGTCATGCCAATGTTAACATATAACTACACTTCTCTTTATCTCATCTGGATGTTAAGCACGGAATTGAGTTATTCTTTGGAGTGTAAACTCTTGGAAATGAAAAGTATAAGACTAGTAGTACTGAACAACCAGGTGTTGTGCCTTCTCATTATTTTAAAACAGGCATATGGAGAAATAATGAACTTCCCACAGGTGAAGGAAGTGACTGTGGGACATTAGGATTGACTGGTAGAGACAAAGCATATCTGAACTCATGCATGCATTAAATATGTTGATTGATGGTTTCAGGGAGTTCAGGAAGTGTCTAAATACAGAACTTTTTTGCAGTTGTGTTTCGCTTTTGGTTTGCAGAGCAAGGGAAATTCCAGGTACGCAATAAAAATTACTTTCCATGGCCAGCTGTTTGATGAAGATCATCATCAGGAGAAGTTAACTGTTAGCAGAGTTTAACTGATCTCTGTGCAGCCTCTCCTATAATTAATTGGAAGAGGAACTTGATTTTGCTTTGGGGAGCAACTAATTCCTGGTGATTGAACTGTATCCTAAATACTTGTCTAGATCTATATTACTTCACTCTGCGAAGTGTATTACTGTGGGGTATATAAGACTTCAGAAGTATAAGGTAGCTTTAAAAAACCCCAACACAACAATGACAAAAAATTACCCCTGCAACCAACCCCATTCCTTTCCCACTCCCTTCCCAAAAAAACCCAGCCCATAACCTTGCACACATTCTGTAGTGTACAGGAATCAGGAAAAATGGACCAAAAGTAGTAGTAAGCAAACATTCAAAGCTTAGTGCAGCTCTTAAATTTTTTTAAGTTAGAATCATTACACACAAAATGTTTTGAACAGCCCAACACCCTTAGAAATGTTCAGCCCTTAAAAATGGATCTTCTGTAGTTGTCATTTCTTTCTCTCTTACAGAAGAAGCATGGCCCAGAGAGCCTCCTTTTGCAATTTACTTTCCTACAAAGTTAATATATCTGAATTTCTTAAAATTTACTGGGGAAGGAGGATAGAAAGCAACTCCTTGACAGACTGTCCAAAACTAAATTACAAAATTACAGAATGGTTCTGGTTAGAAGGGACCTTAAAGAACATCTAGTTCCAACCCACCTAACGTGGGCAGCGACACCTCCCACCAGACCAGGTTGCTCAAAGCCCCATGCAGCCTGTCCCTGAACACTTCCACAGATAAGGCATCAACTACCTTCCTGGGCAACCTGTTCCAGTGTCTCACCACCCTCACACTAAAGAATTTCCTTCTAATGGCTAACCTAAATCTCCCTTCTTCTGATTTAAAGCCATAGCCCCTTGTTCTATCACTACAAATCCTTGTAAACAGACCCTCCCCAGCTTTCCTGCAGGCCTCCTTCAGGTACTGGAAGGCTGCTATGAGGTCTCTCCAGAGACTTTTCTTCTCCAGGCTGAAAAAGCCCAACTCTCTCAGCCTGTTTACATAGGAGAGGTGCTCCAGCCCTCTGGTCATCTTGGTAGCCCCACTCTGGACTCTCTCCAACAGCTCCATGTCCTTCTTATGTTGGGGGCTCCAGAACTGAACGCAGTACTTTAGGTGGGGTCTCCTGAGAGCAGAGTACAGGAGGAGAATCACCTCCCTTGACCTGTTGGCTACACTGCTTTTGATGCAGCCCAGGACACTGTTGGCTTTCTGGGCTGCAAGTGCACATTGCCAGCTCCTGCCAAGCTTCTCATCAACCAATACCCCACAGTCTTTCTTCTCAGAGCTATTCTCAGTCCATTCTCCACACAACCTGTACTTGTGCATGGGGTTGCCCATGCTGCTTTTGATGCAGCCCAGGATGTGGTTGGCCTTCTGACTGCAGGCACCCACTGCTGACTCATGTTGAGCTTCCTGTGCCCCATCACCCCCTCCCCAAGTCCTTCTCCTCAGAGCTGTTCTCAGTCCATTCTCCACACAATCTGTATTTGTGCATGGGTTTGCCCTAACCCAGGTGCAGGACCTTGCACTTGGCCTTGTTGAACTTCATGAGATTGGCACGGGCCCACCTCTCAACCCTGTCAAGGTCCCTCTGAATGGCCTCCTTTCCCTCCAACAGCTCAACCATAACCACACAGCTTGGTGTCATCATCAGACTTGCTGAGGATGCACTCAATTCCACTGTTCATGTTGCACAGATATTGACAGTCCCAGTACAAATCTCTGAGGAACTCCACTTATTGCTGGTCTCCATCTGGACATTGAGCTGTTGACCACAATTCTTTGAGTGCAACCATCCAGCCAGTTCCTGATCCACCAAGTGGTCCATCCATGGAATCCATCTTTCCAGTTCAGAGATGAGGATTTCATGTGGGACAGTGTTGGATGCTTTGCATAAGTCTGGATAGATTATGTTAGTTGCTCTCCCCTTGTCCACTGAGCCTGTGACCCCGGTGAAAATCATTAATATAAAAATCAAATCCTGGATCATACAAATATGGAAAAGGACATTTTATTCAATATGCTTCTGTGTATTCAGGAGGTTCAGGGAGCTCACACCTATGCAGGACTGTAGCATCTATCCAGCAGCACCAAGCAGCCATGCTGCTTTCAAACATACTGTAGTTTGTGCTGTCCATGTTGGAGCTCTTATCTGTAAAACATATATATGTGAAATTACCAGTACATGTAATCTCACATATTCAGGCAGAATATATATTAGATATATTATGCAAAGCTTTCAGTTATAGTTTGCTAAAGAGCTACTCATAAAGATTTTTAAACAATCGTTAAAAATGAGTATTGTGCTTCTGTGCCGTACCATGATATATAATGCAGTCTGTATAGAAACTGAAAAATATCTTATAAAGCTGCTGGATATTTTACAACTTACTTTTGACTTCTTCATGCAACAGGAGCTATGATGTGTCTCTC